GTAGATGTTTTCGATTTTTCTTGTATTCCTGTTAATGCTTCTTTCTTTCGTGGAATTGATTATGCTGAGGTCGTTGATGCTTTCTATAAAATTATCTTCCAGAGTTGTGGAAATTTGCAAAAATGGTGCCTATTCAAAAAAGAATGGTGATTCTAGTAAATATAGGCCTATATCTATAATGCCGATTCTTTCGAAAATGTTCAGTTGTGAGAAAATTCGGTACATTTTACAGTTTTTCTTTGGCGAAAATGCAAGCCAAGCGGCTAAAATTGGGTGGAATGGTGTTTATGGCTCCGATATTGTAACAGCCAATAATGTGCAATTTTAGTTTTATAGATTTTGTTCACGAATTTTTAATGATCGAAGTTGACCGGCATGTTAGCAGCTGTAACATCGCCCAGAAGCTAAAAATTGACAAAAAAAAAAAAAAAAACAGTTTTAAACCATTTAAAATTGACCAGGAACGGGCAGAATTGGTCAATAGGAGAGGCCAACGCTACAACGGGTTTGAAAGTTGGTTGGGAAGTTTTAATAAACCCGCCATACAGTCCGGACATGTCACCAAGCGATTATAATCTTTTTATTGCATTGCAAAATTTCTTTAATGATAAAAAATTAGTATCTAGGGAGGATTGTGAAAATTGACTACTAGTGTTTTTTTGCAAATTGAGAGCAGGACTTCTTTGAGAGAGGCATTATGGAGTTACCTTTAAAATGGGAACAAATCATACAACTGTCAACATATGCTGACCATTTTGTTTCGACTAATATTGTTTCTATAAAATCGATTTTGTTCTACTCAAACAATTGATTTGATATTACCCATGCCATTATAAATGGATCTTTTCCTACATAATGTACTGGATTTCTACCTCGAAGCCTTTCGAAGTCAAAGGTGTTCTTTAAATGAACTATTAACTTCTGAGATTTTTATTTAGATTTTTTTTTAATGTTTATAAATATTTGTTAATCACTAGTTATTACAGCATATTTTATATAAAAATAATCACTTCTTGTGTACATGTATATACTTTGTGGATTATAATAAGAACTTTCAAATAAATCGTGTGGTTCTATATATGAAATAATCTTAAACTACATATATATTGTGAAGTATACATTTTAATTTTAAATTACTCATTGCGGTTTCCAGGAAGTACTGAAGGTTATCATTCAATCCATGTATATTTTGCGAATTTCATTTGACGGCTAAAACGCGAATAATTTTACGCCTTTAAGCGCATCCGATTTCGGCGTACACCCTAAAATAATACATCGATCTATACCTATTTCAATACAGTCCATCAAGAACCATGAATGTAGTAACTCCCTCCATTATTGAGATAAATAGTGTACATCTCGGTTTTGACTGACGTTATTAAACTTCTGTTTTCGCAAAAGTTCAAAATCTGTATAAAGTCACAAATTGAAACGTGAATGATCCAAAGAATATTCAATTAAATACGCTATATTTTTGCAAAATTTCTTGTTCTTGTAGATGGATTTTTATTAAGAAGACGCAAAAACAGATAAATATTTGGACGGAAAAATATATTTTTTTAGAAATTTGATCGCACAAAACTTTAACCTTTAAAGCTGAGCCTATTACATACCCAAAATATAAATAAAGTTACTCAGACTCGTGGGTACAACAACAATCCTATAATTCATGTTTGGAAATTCCTGATTGCGCATTGAAACCAGAAGAATAATTCAAAAAACTCTCAAAATCAAGCCAGATATATTTTCGAAAAACGATACATAAGGGACGTACTCATTTTTTTATGCTTATACTTTTACTTGGGTTGCCTCACCTTGTTTTTAGCCATTTCTACATTGAAGAACACACAGCTTCCACGAAAATAAAATTGGGGGGTCAATATCATGACAAGTTTGAAACGACAGATTAATAAATCCAAAACAATTAAATTTTTCTCATATACTTTAATAATTCCCGAGTTATAAAGGGGTGAACTTCGGCTTCAGCTATGTTAAGAAATTGGTAATATTGCCCATATATAAAATAGAAAAAATTGTTTGTTTGTATATTACCGACAGACACAAAACCTCCTGAACAGAAGTTAAAGAGATTTACACAGCATGTCATGACATGACATATTGTATAAATCTTCAAATTTGCGCGTGTTGCCGAACTAGCATCAATAGTGAAACGGTTACAGATAACGTCTTCAAAATTTGTCTGAATAACGTAGGTGTAAATACACATCAATCAAACATAAGCGTGGTGCGATTGAGAATAAGTCTACATGAAGGAAATAAAAAATACAAATAAAACTATTGACGAAATATGTGGATGATGTATTTGCCATTATAAACAAACACGACGAAACAAATATTCTGACTCTTCTAAATAAATATCATAACAAAATTCAATTTACGATAGAAAAAGAGGTCAATAATAAATTACCATATTTAGACGTACTAATAATAAGGAATGACAATAAATTACAAACTGAATGGTACACCAAAGATACATCATCGGGACGCATTATAAACTATCACTCGACGCAACCAAGAAATATGAAAGTGAATACTGCAAGAAGCCTCCTAAAGAAAATAAAATACATCACGGACGAACAATACTTAAGGAAAAACATAGAAAAGTACACAGGAATACTGAAGAAAAACAGCTATCCTCAACGATTAATAGACGACATAATATATGAATATAATAATAAAAAACAAGACACCCCAAAATCCGACACACAAACCATCAATTTTATCAGTGTACCCTATATACCAAACTTGACGGAGACAAAAAACTTGAGAAACATCATAAGAGATACAACAACAACATTAGCACACAGATCAAACAGCACACTACAAACGATATTTAAACGAACAAAACAAAAAGCAGACAAGCAAAAAGAAAACAATGTTGTGTATGAAGTAATATGTGAAGGCAGCAAAACAGAGAAGTGCGGGAAAGTGTATGTGGGTACAACTAAACGAATGTTAGGTGTGAGAATGAAGGAACATCAAAATGACATCAACAAAGGAACGGAAAAAACAGCACTCTCACAGCACATTAAAGAAACTGGCCACACAGCTGATTTCAAGAATGTGAGAATCTTAGACAAAGCTAAAAACGAAAACAAAAGATACACACTAGAAAGCCTAAGAATACAACAACGAATTGACAGATCCATAAACACGAAGGAAGACAAAGACAATACTAAGCTTCAGTATTCAATTGCAATAACCTAAAACACCAGTTCTGTGATATATTTATTTATTTATTAACTGTGATTTTATTTATTTTATTATTTAATTTATTATTTATTTTATTTAAACGTTGTGGAGTCCCGTTTTTTTAATTTAAGTAAATAATAAACAAAATGAAAAATAATTAAAGTAAGTTAAAAAATAAGTGCAATATATATTGAAAAGAAATTATAATTTTTATTTTGTCAATAGATCAATAAAAAACGCTCTTGAAAATGTTGGAAAAAAGCCAACGAAACGTCGAGCAAAATATGAAATAAAAGCCAGTTTTTATTTTCATCAAACACCTGACCAAAAAAGCCCAACAACAAAGTATCAATGATTAATAAAAAAATGTTTCGTTTCTAGATTCAAAGCCCGTTAAATAGATGTTACTGAGATTTTCACCGAGGAAAATAACATAGGCTATATAAACTTCTAAAATTCCGCGTGGATGTGGAGTTATGGCATCGAAAGTGATTATCCCTCGGAACTAATATTAATTTTCTAATCTTATATCTTAAGAAGGGTCATTCCCACTTCAAAATATGTCTGGGTAACTTAGCAAAAATACGCATCATTACAATAAAAATTGGCGTGGTACAATGGGGAAATGTACTCACATTGCATTCAATTAATCTAAATATAGAAAAAGGGAACTTTTTTGGTTGTAGACACAAGCATCCGCATTGATGCGTAGTGATAGCTTCAAAAGTAATCATACCTCTGACATATATTTTGGTTTATAAATGTATATATGACACTAAGTAATTACACATCCAATCTTAAATGACCAGGGAGTAAAAAATTGGTCCAAATCAAGTTTTTTTTAATTTATTTAAATTGTAAATGTTCTGATAATTGATTTGATTCAACTTTTAGGCCCACTGTCCAAAAATCCCAAAACCTGGCACTAAGTGAATACATCCGATTGAAAGGTCAGTCATGGGCTTTCAGAATATTTAGAGTTTATATCGGAAATCAATTTTTGATATTCATAATTTTTTGACTTTATTAAAAGTGTAAATTTTCTGCCCGAAAATCCCAAAACCTGTTACTAGGCTTTCAGAATAAATATAGTTTATATCCGAAATCAATTTCGGATATTTGTAGGAAAAAAAAAAAACCAAACCAAGTCTACATACAAACATCAATCAACCAACAACGATCAGGGCATACGACGGTAAAGAACAGACGTACAAAGACTATTCTTCATTCTCTCCATTCATTTTATTAAATTAATTAAAGTTTTCTTTTAAACTTCTGACTTATTAAACAGTGTTTTAATTAATTGAGCCAACGGGTAATCATAAATCCCACAGATTGAACATTTTTTGACTTCTTTAAAATTGTACAATTTAATTTATATATTCCACGTTTTAGGCCCACTGTCCGAAAATCACAAAACCTGGAATTCTAGTAAAGTCCGGCAGCAGATTTTGAACCGATTGTCCCAGGTTTTATAAAATATGTTCACAACTCCCGGTCGTAATATGTAAGGTGACGGGAATTTTTTGTACATCTATAATAGTTGAGTTTATTTCCTCAAAGAATTTTCGAAATTTACGTTGTTTCTTTAGATTTAAGAATATATATATATATACGTTGCTTCTTTAGATTTAAGAATATATATATATATATATATACAATTCTTTTTCAACCATTTGGTTACAATTCAAATATATATAATGGTCTAAATTTATTTTTTTGTATTTATTAATGCAGTTTTTAAATATTCTATATGCTTAATGATACATCTGATCTCTTTTTTCAGAAATGCATGCTGTCATTCCTCCTGGGATTAGAGTAGTACGAGGACCGAACTGGATTTGGCAAAATCAAGGTGAATTATATACATTACAGTATTTATATACAGTTTTTCGAAATAAGTACAGTCAAACACATTTTCACGAACTATGCGAACTGTTATCCGGTCTCTAATGAATGCTCACTTCTCATCGAAAACATCGACAATGGACGATGTCATGGCAGATAGGGAAAAAGATCGGAGGACACTATATTTGGCAATTCAATGGTGTTAAAAGGTTCTCACCATTAAAAGCGGCAGGACCGGACAACGTTTTCCCCGCGTTACTACAAAAAGAAGCGATATTTTTATCACCACATCTAGCCACACTTTTTAATGTATGTTTAACTTTACCGTACACAACAAAAGTCTGGCAGGAAGCCAGGGTAGTCTTCATACCCAAGATCATATCGGCCAGTAAGCCTAACTTCATTCCTACTTAATCCTACGGTCAATAACCAAAAAAATATACGTAGATCAATAACCGTGGTACATTTGTACCCATCCAAAGATAGCTCTGTAATTCATTAAAAAATTGGACTATCGTGAGGTTTTTTGTTTTTAATTAGTCTAAACGGATCAGATCTAGATGTAGGAACTCAAAATTATATATTTCAAATTTTTTTTTTCAATTTCTTTATTGCGTGTAATATGGATATTTGTACATTTTTGTTGCTTATATATAGATACAAGAGGTTAGGAATTTATAATTCCTTTTCTACTTTAACATTGTTTGATGTATAATTCAGTGAATTAGATAATATTTTTTTATATTTTATTGCCACGAAAAAGCCATCTGGCCAATAAATATCGCAACATGCCAAAAAAACAGTATATATCTTAACAAACTTTAAAGCATATTTAAATTCATTTTAAAACTAAACAGTTCATATACTAACATAATATATGGATTTTAATTAACAAACTACAAAGCAGAAAAGGCTCCCCAGCCATGTAAAATAAAGCAGTAAAGACTATTGTTTAATATAGCAAAAGAACTGAATAAAATTACCAAACAAATTAAAAAATACATTAGTCCAGCATGTAATTAACAGCAAAATCTTCAAACTTGCGTTGAAATACACTGCGCGAAAAAGAAAAATGTCGTAGTTCAACAGGAAGTTGATTCCACAAACGTGACGAACGAATAATAAAAGATCTTTCATATAAACAAGTGGAATAGCGCGGGAAAATTAACTGAGTGTTCCTGGTAGATCTAGAGAAAACAAGTCGATCACGCAGGACACCGGGAAGATCTAAAGTGACAGATTTATATAGAAATGAAATAACTCTTTTCTTTACGAAAACAGAAAACGGTACTCCTAGAAACTCCTAATATAAGTTTTCACGGAAAAGCGCAAGAAAAAAACCTTTTTGAACAATTTTTTTGGGTAGAATACTTTAAATTTATAAAATTATGATGATATTAATTCATTAATGTGCAGGTATTGGGACATTTTACATCTATCTATAAAATGTTCTGTGAGTCTGCTGATCTTCTGTTGAATAGTCTCAAAATCTGTCAAACAGTGTAATCGTTGTGTAGAATATAACCATGAAAAATATGGTTTCCGTTTTGTCTGTGTTGAGAAGAATTTTCCATTTGAAGAAATAGTTGTCTAGCTGAATTAAAGCAGTTTCTAAACAGGCAATGATATTACAGGATAACGTGCCAGCACTGAGTATCGATGTGTCATCTGCAAAAATGGAAGCTGTACATCCTCGTAGAACAGGGATGTCGGAAGTGTATATGTTGTATAATATAGGTGAAAGGCAAGATCCTTGAGGACATCCATCAACAATCGATTTTTTCACTGAACAATATGCACCTATGGATACAAAGAATGTTCTCCCACAGAGACAACTTTGTATTAGTTTAATGATTACCATAGGGAAGTTTAATTTATATCTTGTAGACAAGACCATTGTGCCATACAGAATCAAAAGCAGATTTCATATCCTATAAGACCATACCAGTAGATTTGCTAGAGGAAAAGTTATCATGAACAAAATTTCTTATTTTAAACAAAGGTTGGTTTGTGTTGTGTTCTCTCCTGAATCCAAATTGCTGAGGAGGAATAATATTGTTTCGATCAATAAAATTAATTATTTTTTCTTTGATAATTTGATCCAATATTTTACTTTTTGATGACAAAAGGCTAATAGGCAAGGTAGATATATAAGTCTTGATTTATATTAGGCGAGTTTACTTGCGGCAATTTTTATCGTTATCTTTTGAACTTGCTCCATGCGTCTATACAAGGCAATTCGGTTTCCAAAATATTTTTTTATTTGTTGTTTTTTCACATTTAAATATATATAAAATTTCAACAAATACGAAAAACACAAAACGAATTGCCAGAAAATTGTCGGTACGAGCAATTTTTTTTCATTTCTATACCCCTTGCCCCTCTCTCCTACAAACAAAGACTTGCCGCAAGTAAACTCGCCTAATCTAAATCAAGACTAAGGTAGCCGCATCGGCGAATTGGGAACATGATATGTCATAACGGCAGGCAAAGCGTATTTAAATTAATTTGCTTTGACATATCAATTTTGAAGCAAATTGTTTTCTACCAATCAGAACACAGAATTTTGAAGTATCAAGAAATATTATTTTACTTTTAATTCTTTTTTTTTAATTCTTCTTATTTGAGTAAATTATAATTTTATGAATGAAAACCATCATAAAAATTAAAATCAGCATTTGTAAATGCGATAAAATGGCGGTGGAGTGATTTCAATACGTGGTCCATGCTGAAAATGTTTTTATAACGCCACAAAATGTTAGCCCTATACCCATATTTTCGTATACCGAATTGGTCGTATCTCTACTAGCTGAATCAATCAGGCATGTGTGTCAGCCCGTCTGTTCATTACAATTTGAAATCATAATTGTATCCGCAGTTATGAACCAGTCGTCCTTTTATTTCTCACAAATTATATCCCGAAATCAATAAAATGTTATATTTGAAGCGGAACTGGTCAACCAATAAGAATGAAAGTTTTAATGATGATCAGTAAACATGATTTGTTAGATTTTATGTGGATAATAAACAAAACATAATTTCAATTTCAATTTCAATTTATTTCATAAACGAGAATCTAGCCCAAAGGGCCAAAAGCGATTCAAAAAACAACAAAATATAAACTACTCCAAAAGCTTAAAACTAACAGTGTATTAGCTTAATGATATCTTAACGTCTATTCAGTTGGAGGGGTTCAGAACCATTGTACTTCAAAAACATTTTTATTATTATTATTCCATTATTTGATGTAGCGACCTATCACATAGGGCAAAGGACTTCAATATTATATCTACTCTCAAACACTAAATTCAATTTACAGGTTCAAATATCTTATTATTATATCACAATTATCAATATAAAAAAATATATAATTTATTATAGTTATATTTATTTAAATGTTGAAATCAGTTATGCAATAAAAACACAAACAAGTAAGCAAAACCCATGAATTTAAGATGAATTGAGGTTGAAGTAATCGTATAAATGAGTTCGATAACATTTTAAGGAAGAGTTAAAAGTTTTAAGAGAAGGCGGTAAGGTGTTAAAAATTCTAGCAATTCGTACAAAAAAGGCTTTTTCCAATAAAGGACACAAACGCGGAACAAGTATTTGTATGTTTCTAACAGATCTAGAAAACAGAAACAAATCGACTACAGAGGAAGGAGTCTGCAACTTAAATACCTTATAGAACAACAACATTGACCTTAAACTCACAAAACTTTCAAAGGTACAACCGAGGAACTCTTTAACGTAAGGAGAAATGTGATCACGACGTTTAACACAATATACATATCGCATAACCCTATGGAACAAGAGTTTAATTTTACGTAATACAAATCCACAACAACCCCCAAAAATCTCAATACAATACAAAAAATTTGGCATAATCAATGCATGGGCCAATTGAATTCTAATGCTCTTAGGTGGAGCCATATCCAAAGAGTACAACTTTCTTAAAATAAAGTTTACCTTGGACACCAAAGAATTAACATGCACATCAAACACCAAACTACTATCAAGAAACAAACCAAGACATTTCATAGAGCTTACAACATTTATAGAATTATTATAAATGGAAACATTTACTGAATTCTCTTGCAAATTCCCAAAAAACATAACTTTACTCTTTCGTGTATTAATTGAGAGTCCGTTAGCAGATAACCACGTTACTAACACATTGATATTAAAATGTATAGAGGACTGCAAAACATCTAAAAACACATATTCTCCTTTAAACAAAATCTGCAAGTCATCAGCAAATGCAAATGACATACAGGTCCTACTACTAATACAACTTAGCAAATCATTAACATACATAACAAACAATAGAGGCCCAAGTACAGACCCCTGGGGTACACCACTACTCACAAAATGACGTATATATATTTTCTCGAGAAAGACAAAGTTCGGATAAATTGACAATATATGACAAAGATATTTTTCCTCTAAAATCATATCTAATATGTGGATGTATTTGGTCCGATATGGTATATATGTATGTATAACATATTTGCATATTCCAAATACTCAAATATTGTTAGTGCTGTTAGATAATCAAATATGAGACAATTGTCGCGGGATTCTTGCACAATTGCTTAAGCTCCATAGAACATTTAACACTAGTTGATATGTCCGAATATACCGCATTGCTTTCTAGTTGTTACATATTTCATAAAATTTATTTTAAAACAATTCTTGTTTGAAACTTGCGTTTTGTATTTTCCTACGGCGAATCCAAATAACGAAAATTTTATTTGACATATAATGTTACCATCAGCTGCCTTGATAAGGTTACCTTATTAATGTACCTTGCTTATAGGTCTATAATCTGAAGTAGAATTACCAGATTTGTTTGATTTTTTAATGGGAATGGTTTTTGCACATTTTCATACATGTGGGAATAACTAAACCGTAAACAGGAGTTTATAATTGAAGTTAATACTGCAATTCCATTAGGAGGTAAGTTCTTCAAACAAATATTGTTTATGCCATCCATACCAGGCGATT